ATCTGCTGCAGTAGGCTGCAGTTTATTATGATGGGATTCTAGAGACCCCTGCACTAGCTGGCTCATGTGTAGTTACGAACACAGAGCATCGGGAAGGGAGGGGACGTGAGAGGCGGTTTGCCCTCTGCTCCTTCTGAGGGCTGCGGGCGACATGTGGAGGGGCAGCTGGGAAGTGGATTACTCTGTAGGGAAGCTCACTTCTCTAAGCCTCAGTACACACGGCATATCTCCTTAGAACACGGAAAGAGTGAATCAACACACTTGCTTCAGACTAATCCCGAAATTTGCCTTTTCTAGATTTCTCCCTACATCATAAAATCAGAAGAGTCCAAGGCTCCAGCCATAGAGCCTTTGTGAATAAAACCTTTCACAAAGTTACACCTGGAGCAGATAGAAAAGCGAATCACATCTGATGATAAATCGTGTCACTTGCCCAAACTTCGTCTGGATTTGTACTTAGAGAAATTACGTAAATCTTCTTTGAGTTGCTTCGTTCCTAGACAACATTAGAATCTGCCACGGAGGAGCTGGGAATCTGGATGAAGCCCCCATAAAGCCCCACGAGGCTGCCGTGTATGCTGGCTGAAATGAACACGGTGCCCTCCTGCTCTGGCTGCTCCCAGACCATTTTTTCCTTTTTATTATAAAAGCAGTAAATGCCCAGATGCATATAAAGTACCTCTGCTTCCCCCTACCCCTCTGGACCCCTTGTTAGAGATGACAAGTTTCTTGTGTATCCTTCCAGAAATTTAATGCATATGTAAGCATCTCTTGTTTAAGCTAATAAGATCATTTTATATACACTGTTTGGCACTTTTCTTTTTTTTCTTTTTTTTTTTTTACTTAATATTGACACCTTTTCATATACACACACACAGATTTACTTTTCTTCCTTTTAAATGTAAATCTTAACTTTCTGAGATGTGGCCTGGCATGGTCAGAGGGAGAGCTGTACTAGGAGCCTGGAGTCTACTCCCCATTCTCCCTTACAGCGGCTGCATAACCTTAGGGAAATCTCCAAACCCTTCCTTGGATCTCAGCTGCTTCCTCATCCCACAGGAAAAGGGGCTGAGTTGTTGGGAAGAGAAGAAAACTTTTTGTGCCTGAAGACTGAGGCTGAGGCAGGTGGCCCTTTCCAGGTTTAAGACCTGTGTGATAGGCCCTCCAAAGATGTCCACATCTCAATCTCCGGAACCCACAAATATGCTACCTTACAAAGCAAAGGGACTTTGCAGACGTGATTAAGTTAAGGATCTGGAGATGGAAAGATTATCCTGGATTTTTCAGACGGGCCCAATGTAATTACAAGGGTCCTTAGAGCAGGGAGGCAGGGGGATCAGAGTCAAAGAAGGAAAGGTGATGATGGAAATGAGGTTGGAGTGATGTGGGGCCATAAGCCAAGGAATGCAGCCTCCAGAAGCTGGAAAAGGCAAGGAATGAACTCTCCCTCAAAGCCTCCAGAAGGAATGCAGCCCTGCTGACCCATTTTAGACCTCTGACCTCCAGGACTGTAAGAGAATAAATTTATGTTGCTTTAAGCCACTATGCTTGTGGGAAGTCATACAACAGCAACAGGAAACTAACACAAGCTGCAACCTCGTGATTCTAAAATGCCTTAGAATCACGCAGGGGAGCACTTCCCCCTGGTGGAAGGTAAGCAGAAGGCAACAGGGGAAGTTTCCAGGGAGAAGCAGGAAGCGCTGGAGGAGTAGGGGGAAGGCAGGGGCAGGGCGCGGGGCTGGGCTGTGGAGTGGGATGTAGGCTGGCTTCCCTGTAGACCACCCGTCTAAGCCACTCCTGTATTGAATGTCAGCCAAGGGTCTGACTTGAGGATGAGGGCCCCACAGAATAGACGCTGGTCTGAGGGTCAAAGGGATGGGGGCTGAAGAAGTGGGGTCTGGACTTGGGAAAATTTCACTTTTCCTCCAAGTGTATGCTCTACAATTTTGTTGTGTTGACTTTCTAAAGGCAAGACTTTGGGCAAGTCAGAGCTAACAGAAGGCTGACCAACTGTTCCAGTTTGCCCAGGACTGAGGGTTTCCCAGAATGTAGGACTTTCCATTTTAAAACCCAGAGTCCCGGGCAAACCGAGATGATATAGTCACCTTAGCTTATGGCCTATAGAAGTGTCCTCGAATAGGGGAGGGGCTACACGGCTGTCTATACGACAACACCGAAATGCATAAATGTGCAGTCTCGGGGAGAGGCTGAGAGACTGGAAGAGAGAAGAGCCCAGTGATCCTGGATCATGGACATCTCCGTGGGAGAGAGTGCAGTCAGAGGAGGGGCAGTTCTGAGTGCTAAGAAGATCCCAGGGGGCTGTGATGGAGTGAGGGGCCAGCGTGTTAGGAGGGTCACCTTTGTGGACCCTGAAGACACCGGGGATGGGGCAGGGCTTAGGGTCAAAAGGAAGGCTCAAGCCATGTGCCAAAGTCCTTAAGAAGTGAGGGAGCCTGGCTGGGAGGTCAGGAGACAGCAGCACACAGGGGGGAAGAGGTAGGTCAGCTGAATAATGGGAACTTCAAAGGAGCAAGGGTTTTACAGGAGGGGAGGATAAGAGAGGATGGAGGAGAAGTGGTCCAGAAGCTGCAGGGGGAATAAAGGGGAACATGACCACATGACTTCCGGTCTTTTTTTTTTTTTGGTGAGGAAGATTAGCCCTGAGCTAACATCTGTTGCCAATCCTCCTCTTTTTGCTGAGGAAGATTGGTCCTGGGCTAACATCCGTGCCCATCTTCCTCTACTCTTTATATATGGGACACCTGCCACCATGGCTTGATGAGTGGTGCGTAGGTCCGTGCCCAGGATCCGAACCAGTGAACCCCGGGCCACAGAAGCAGAGCGCGTGAACTTGACCACTATGCCATCAGGCTGGCCCCAGGTCTTTTCAATTCAAAAGTTCTGACTTATGCAGGTGGGGATAGATCCTTCCACTGTGGGTCCAAAATTTGGCCCTGGCCTCTGAGGGCACTGCATCCTTGGCAGGAGAGGGGTTCCCTGTTGAAAAGCTGCATCTTGACAACCTCTCTGCCTTAAGGCAATTTACCAATTCACAGAAAAGGCTGAAAAACATCTGAGTGGGCAGCCTGCCACTGCTGAGTACGTGAGTTTCTGGAGAAGGCCCTCTGCATAGAGTACAATGGGCTCTGCAGAAAAGCTGACTTGAGGCTGGGCTGGAATCCTGGTCCCACCACTTACTAGCTGGGGTCCTCCGGCAAGTCCTTTCCACCTCTCTGTACCTCAGTTTCCTCATCTGTAAAATGGAGAAATCAGACGGCCTACCTCAGAGGCACTAATGCCACGCTTACAGCATTGTCGTTATCAGCTGCAGAGAGTAGGAATTTGTAAAGGGAAATGGGGCGGACCCTGTCCCATGCCTCCCAATATCCATTACCTACTTCCTCCCTGAAATCCAGCTCTGTTTGGGGATGGCAATGTGCCCAGCTCCGTTCTCGCTTTCCCAGTCTCCATTGCAGTAGCCATGTGGCCTAGTTCTGGCTAATGAAGTGCAAACAGAAGTCTGTAAGGGACATTCTGGGGAAAACTTTTGCTTTCCTGACAAGAAGGAGAAATAGAGGTTGGTGTCCACATTCCGCCTTCTTCCTGCCCTGGATACAGAGGTGATGTCTTGAGCTGTGGCAGTCATATTATAATTATGGGGCAAATGCCAGCGCTCTCAGGGTGGTGGAGAAGAAAGACAAGGGTGTGGGTCCCTGACGGCACATTGGACAGCTGAACCAGCGCTGGCAATCGCCTACCCTTGTTCTTGTTATGTAAGAAAAATAACTCTCAATCTGCTTAACTCCTTTATTTGGGATTTATAGTTAATTGTAGCTGGACACATTTCTAAATGACATAGGAGCTTAGTGTGCCTCCTATTTAGAGGAGGCCCCTATAAAAGCACAGCATACTCTAGATTAGGTCATCTGCTTCTTTCAAGTGATTTTCAAAGAGAGGAACCAGGTGGTAAGGGACCTAGCATGAACCCCATTTTTCTCTTTCAAACACAATTTAAAGGGGGTGGTACCAAGTAGGAGTGGCAGGAGCACAATGTACAGGTGTACCTGAGGGCACTACTGGGAGGCTGTGCTCGGAAAGGGGAGCCGCGAGCCTCAGAGCTGAAAAGTAAGCAGACAAGGCCACTTCCCCAAGCCTGGCCCGGACCCGAGCTCTGCTGAGGACGAACCGTCTGACAGGTCAAAGGGAAGCTGATCCCGCCAAGAGCTATTTAATCTGGCTTTTTAACTGTTCACTCTTAAAAATCACAGACCGGTTCTGAATTATGGTAGTGGTCAACAACGTAAATTTATTCAAGATTGCTATTGCTCTTTTATGCCAATCACACTGCATCCATCCAAAAAAGCTTCTTAAACAGCCTTCAATGAACTAAATGGTTAATTTGGTAAGCTCCTCGGCTTCCCTTCCCCCATCCGGTTCTGCAGCCTCCAGGAGAGGGGGAGACTGGAAAAATGAGCTTTTAAAAAAGAGTCTGATTCCTTGTAAAAGCAAAAGTGAGAAAAGACCCGGCAGCGACGGAGAAAGCCAAATGATTAAAAAACAAAACAGGAGTCTACCCTAGGCCGCGCGCACACGGGCTCGCTGCGCTGGCCACCACTGCCACCCCCTCCACCCCGCCCCGCCTGGGAAGGGCAGGGATGGGATCAGTTTGCATCTTCCAGGAAAGTGATGACGGTAACCGGTCCCACGATCCTTCGTCGGGAGGATAGAGGCCAGGGGCTGACACCACCAGGCTCCCCCGCCCAGAGGCGGGCGGGGGCTCTGCAAGGTGCCTGGAGCCTCCGAGGGCCGCCCAGCTCGGGCCCCACACCCCCCAGGCCGCTGCCCGCGCCTCACCTGGTGCGGGACACCGGGGCCCGCATCCCCGGAACGGCGCAGGCCTGGCCCCAGCCCCGGGCCGCCCCCTCCTCCGGGAGCCGGGCGCCTGTCTCGTTTCCTCGGCCCGCCTCCCGGCGCGCAGCCCCCGCCCGGCCCGCACTCACGCTCCACGTCGTGCAGCTTGGCCCGCTCCTCCTCCAGTTTGCCCTTGAGGCTCTCGGCCTCGCTCTTCAGCGACGCCAGCGTCTCGTTCTCGTGCAGCCCGTCGGTTGCCATCTTCGCGGCGGAGGCGGCGGGGAGGGAAGCGGAGAGCGGGGCTGCGGTGAGCGGGCGACGGAGGCGCGGCCGGGGAGCGGGCGCAGCTCCAGCCGCCGTC